TAAACCATTCAGGTTATCATGGCTTACTACTTTACTGCTGTTCTTAAATTCACTAAGTAATTCTCCATACACTTCTCTCTGAACCATCAATAAAATCTTACGCTTGGCAATCTCAAGCTCTTTGACCTTTAAACACCCTAGATGAACGGATCCTTCATGACTCGGTGAACGAAGCACCATCAGAAATTCTATGAACCTTCTAAGCCAGGCTACGGCCCTGACTAATTTCAACCACTCGGAATAATAAGAGAGAACAGGTGTCTTGTTGTACTTTATACTACTCAAGTTAACCACAGCAGTTTTTCTAAACTCAATATCGTCAAGAGTAGGTTCCGTACAGTCAGTGATTGTTATATAAAATTCGCCATGCAATAAAATAGGACATTTGAACCAAGATTCAAGATCGGTCATTTTTTGTATACTTCCTCTACATAATAATTCACTTATATGCTTAACGAAACTCTTTGCTTGATCACAAGTGGGAATGGATATCAAGCAATCATCAACATAGAAATTATTCTTGACATCATCTACAACATAACCATCATAACCGTTAGAGAATATTTGGGCCGTCTTATTCAGGGCAAGGTTCGCGCAAAATGGCGAGAATGTGGCATCAAATGGATGGGATGTCATTTGAAACTTAGACGGTTCTCTCGATATGTCCCCCTCCTGCCACCACAGAAATCTTGAAGCTCCTCGATCAGACTCAGGGACATTCACTTGCATGAACATTTCTTCAACATCTGCAGGGATTGCAACTGCCTCCTTGCGAAAACTTAATAATATACACATTAACTCAGCGGTGGTATCGGGATCTTGATAAATCATATCATTTGGGGAACCCCCTGCAAACTGGGCGGCACAATCAAGGACCACTCTAAGTTCTTCTGGTTTTTTCATGTTTAATACTGCATGATGAGGTAAATACCATCGAGGGCGATAATAAGACTGTAGATATATTTCAAAGACCCTCTCCGCATAAGTCTTAGTAAAATCACTTTCAGTACTTTTGATATACTTGATGTGCAGACTGACATCCTTCGACAACATACCCTTCAAACCTTGTAATCTACGGTTTGCTACTTCATAGTTATCCACTTTCATATCTGGATTCTTTTTCCAAGGTATAGAAACTACAAAATGACCGTTGCCGAAGCGCATGCCACCTTCCACAATCTTTATAGCCACCTTGTCGTCTACTGATAATGATTTATCAGTTGAATAAGCATCTGAAAACTCTACGTCATAAGGCTTACGTATTTCGTTCTCTAATGTCTGTATCTTACTGGTATGATTAACGACTCTTTTCCTATATTCCGGGCATGATGGCTTATCATTTACGACGTTGCTTGTCGAGTCAGTGTGCAGCAGAGCGTGATGTCTCCTCTCGCAACTGTCAACCTTACAGAGCCTTGTCATCTTACATTCATTAACCTTATGTCCTTGTCTAAGACAGACGAAACAGATACCCTTGCTTTTAGCGTGAGACCATCGGTCTTGAACTGTAAGCGCTAAGAACTGTGGACATTTATCAATGGCATGGTCGTAGGAACACATACTACATTTAGTTTTCATTGTCGAACTATTCCCTTGCTCTGATTGCACGTGACAGTTCGTCTTTACGTTATGTCCTTTTCTAGAACGGTTTGCTAACCGTCCAAATCTACTACAAGCCACTCTCGCACGCGATGCGATAAACTGAGTGAGCTCGTCGAAGGTCGGTTCTCTGTTATCTTCAGTCAATTTATCCACCCAGTCCGCCCACTGGGCTTGCATAGGTTGAGGCAAGAGTCTCACTATTCTTTCCAAGGTAACTAAGGAATTTAGATCAGAAGTATAATTCATTTGTTCCAAGACCATGGCACAGTTTCCCATCTTAATAGCCAAATTTGATAGTTGGTCCCCGTCAATATACTCAAAATTCACAGCACTGAATAAGTCCTCTAGTGTTTCTCGAGCAATTACGTGAGGCTGTCCGAAAAAACGTTTTAAAATCTCCCTTGCTCTTTTATAGCCAGAGGATGCCTCCATCATGACGCAACCTTCAATAGCTGTTTTAGCCTCGCCCTTACAGTAGTGTATCAAATAGAGTAAGCGCTGGCTATCATCCGTGACTCTTGACGCTACATACGTCTCAAATTGCCTTATAAAATTCCAATAACCTCTTGGCTCTCCATCGAAATAACTCAGTTCAACCTTTGGTAGCTCTGGGCCAACAACATGGACTATAGGCGACATGCTCTTTCCTAGTAATTCAGGCCTTTGCTCCTCCCTTAAACTAAGATTTTTTACATCAACTGACATCGAATTAAGGCTAGAATCACTGCCATGATAATTAACCCTATTTAAGTCTGAACCATGACCCTTAAGGACGTCAAAAGGCACTTGCTTGACAATAGGGGATTCTTCGTTAACATCGACGAACTTTGAGCCTGATCTCCTTCGACGATTAACTGGCATTATAAGCGACACGACCAATTATTTCCAGAAAATCCGTGAACGATTACCAAAGGATATCGACCAAGTAATATTTGTTTAGAACTATAGGATCCAAACCACGTTTGGACTGCTGGACAGCTGCTTGGATAAGTTGGATACGCGCCCTTGCCCGTTTGAAATCTAAACAAATATTATCACCCGGCTATTCAACCAATGATTGTTCAATCAATTAAATCAATCACAACAAATCAACGTTATTCTATCCTGGCTGGATAGATCACACACAACAGGAGGAACAAATCAATATGGCTACCGCCAAGAACAAGTGTCAAGTAAAACAACGCAGATGCAGTTCAGGAAGAAACACAAACTTAGTGAATGCGTAATAAAAACAAAAACTATAACAAAAATACAAATATTAACAATTCAAATGTAATCAAAATACAACAATGTACAACTAATGCGATCAATAGGAATAAAGTACAAGTATATACATGGAGGGATTTTCACCAACACATAAAACCTTCAAAATGGATCTTACACCCCTCTCATCCGTTGCAACATGTCTGTCGCAGAACCGTGTTGCAGGTCGATATTGTTGAAGAGTTGATCTAACCTTTGTCGATCGGTTAGGTCTCGTTTAAGAATCGAGCGTTTTAAGATTTCGTAAGGATCGGAAACATCACTAGTAAACATACTAGGTGTTACGTACCTGTTGAATTCGCGCGGTAGTGCCTTGACTACTGCGAGGAATTGTGCACGTGTGTCGATCACGCCGTGCTCGGAGAAGTCGGCTTCTGCGTAGCAAAACCAGGCTTCGATGTTGTCGGGCCAGAAAGGCATCAGTTGAAAAGAAGGCGGGGACAAAGTCTTAAGCTTGAGTACTTTAGGTGTCTGTTCAGTCATGATGAAGTATGAAGTACGATAATGAACCAGGGGAAAATATATATATCCAGGAAAAAACACGAAAAAAAAATCACAATGTTTAAAAAAGTTAAAAAAAAATAAGGCAATGATATATAAAAATCCCAAAAAGGAACAGACTCACAGTTGCAATTAGGTGTACCAGATCACGTCGGTTTCACCAATGATGATGTCACAGGTATTCAGTGTTTGACAACGCTTCTACCAGTAACACCTTCTAATATATTTCGTTCCCGCCCAGAGAAATCAAAAGACAGAGTCGAGGAGATCGGAAGAGTATATTTGGCGATGACCAATATATCGGAATTCTCTGATCTAATCTGGCTAGCGATTGCGGTTGATGTTGAGCACGGCGTTACCACACGTGATCTGGTGCGGATGACTGACCGAGCGCCTTCAGCTAGGTGAGTCCACTAAAACATATGGTCAGCATCCAATGTCGAAAACTTAGTGCTATTTATTTTGGGGATTTATTTACCGCTACAAGTGTACACCAGATCGTTATAAAAAAGTGGGTAATGAGCATCATTATGACGTAAACATAAACATAAATGTAAATATCGGTTAATAAGATGTTTGCGTCGTATATCTTTTGACCCTAAGCCTAAAATAAAGCTGAAGTGCTTTGTAATCAAACATAGAGTTCGGTTATTTATCAATGACCTTTCAGGCAATGAACACTGATGGAAATAATTGAGCCAGCTGATGTAGCTGTCTAATTAATTTGAAACGGTTGACAGCTGTTGGATATAAATGCTAAAAAGGCTGTTGTCTTGCAAACAACTGCCTGAATAACCGAGACTATAGTGCTAAATGAGGTTACATAATGCACAATACAGAACATGACGAGTGGTAAATTTAAACCAGTTAGTTCTGCTGGTTTCATGATCCCATTCAACCGTTACCACTGATTATCACAACATAAATAAGTGCTCAGTTAATCCTTCGTATTAGGTTATCGAATTCACTCCAGAACGAATAGTTGTTATGAAGGTAAGTTGAAGCCATTCTGGAAGTTCTCTACTATCATGCCATATCTATATAAAAAATTTTCAGTTATTGTGAACTGTAGGCTTTTTAGAGTTCTTTAATCTTATGCGTCAAAACGCAATTATTCTGTAGTGTGGTGTCGAGTCGCGATTGACTATGATCACCACTACAGGAGAACTACGAGCCAGTTGATCGATAAGATATTACGTGAGCCAAATATCAGAAGGCAGTTACTGGCTGTAGTCGAGATGTATTTGTTGGCGATCTCGTGGTGTCCGAAGAATACCGAGATCGTGCCAGTTACAAGTGTGGTTACTGAGCGTAACCGGATCCGTGCAAGGTCACAATCAATGGAAGAAAGTATGTGTTTTGGTACAGCTAAACAAAAAAGTACGGTAAAACAATCCCTAGTACAACTGGTTATAATAATAATTGTAGTGGTGACCATAGTCAACCGCGAATCGAATCCAAGCTACAATTGGTGAGCCCGACGTGATCATATGCGTATCTACAGTTTTCACGACATTACGTTGTACTGTTTGTTAACATCCAAAACAACTTTGCGACAGAAAAATGTATGTATATTTTCATCCCTAATATGTAAAAGATATTTAATTTTGGAATGCCTATCGGCCTGTTTGACCAATGCAAGTGTTTGGACTTACCAGGCGCGCATAATTCGTATCTTGTATGCTATCATCGTTACGTTTGTTGGTCGGATGCAGCGGAAATTAGAACAATTACCTGGTCTTAGTAATGTGACTGGGAAATACACAAAAAAGTGTACAGATGAACCATACCCTCGTTTGTTTGTACGCAATACGAGTGAAGGTAGGAATGATGTCACAATCCAAATGAATAAAGTCAAGCCAGAAAGTTCGGGAGTTAATAGTTCTGATGTCTCATCTCTTGTATGGCCTTCGAATGCCACAAAGTCTTCAACCATGCAACCCCGATCGGACTTCGCTAATAGCTCTGATTACTTACCAGTGAATCACAAATGTCCGAACATTCATGTCGCTAAACCTCAGTATGTAACTCCGAAATCGTCAACACCACACCAATCTTTGATATCTAGTGGACCAAACATGTCTTCAGGAGGAAAGGTGAGGCCTCAGAAATCAAATATTCCTGTTAAGCCACAAGATATACAACGTACCAAACGATATATGAAGGAAGTAGTGAAATCGTCATCATCAGGAAGTGTGTCCGCACTTCAGTCTAAACCTACAGGTGTGATAATAGCCACTCCATGTTCTCCACAGGTTAATGAACAGGGTCTCACCAGGTCATTTGATAGTTTTTCTGTGAGTGGAAGAGTGGCTTCATCTAGTTCATTTTCTGGAAGTGAAGAATCATTTCATACAGTCTCTGAAAGGGTGTCGTTTTTGAATGGAAAAGATTTTAGTCAAAGATTGTTACCTAGTCCATGCAATGTGTCAGGTTATTCTTATGAGACAGAGGACAGGATTCCTTCAACAAGAGAACATTCACGTGACCGATCATCCAATACTCAGCCACCAAATTTACTGAATGTTACGAAGAACTCACCTGGAGGTGCTAACTTTCAGCAGTGTTGTAAGAGATTCTCAGATGATCAGGAGACTTACCCGCTAGGAGATGAACAGATATGTAATAGAATAGGTCGGATAAATCTCTCGGATAATGGACCGGCTGTTTCACCTATGCGTATCGACAACGACTCATCATTCCAGTCCACAGAACGACATATTTCGTACTCTGGTAGTCAGGAAAAACAAGACACGAGTGAACTTAAGAGAAAACCCATTATACAACTATATGGTCTTCAACCGAGGCACGCCTCATGGAATGTTGGTAAGTATATACAAATGAATTATGTCCAATCTGTTCCGGATTGAACTCTTTAACTAATAAAATATGTAAAATATCTGTCACCGGGATTAGGTTCGACGGTCATAACTATCATTTTGGTGCAATATGATGTTTATACATCATCAGAAACATATGATTATGATAAAAATTCAAACTCTATGGGAAGAAAGTTTTTGTTACTAATTGTGATTCTTTTGTAACTAAATATTTGCAACTCTACCAACCAACCCATTTTGTTCTTAGAAGATGATTTAACAGCTTAATAAGAATATACCTATTTAGCGATCGCTCGTGATGCTGCCTGGTAATTGCTTCCTTGCTTAAATCACAAAACTTTGAATTTTTTCCACGGTAAAAAGCATTTTGTAAGTTTCTTCACCAACTGGTATTGTGATTGAACTAAGTTACAACATTAGAACATTTTAGGAGTTTATTACCCCGTAGTTTCACAGACAGTTTTCAGAAAATAAAAATGCGCTTTAATGCTCAATGATCATAAAACAAAATACTTATGAAGAATCTGTATCTTTTTGGTCTCTTTTTGTCACATGTAAACTGTGAATATTACTTTATATGCTTTGGCGAAGTATCAAATATTCAACAACAATGACCAGGCAAAGCCTGTCACTTCTTGAGCTTGCTCCCGATTTAAACATTTTTAAAAGTATATCTATTATGCCGCCATTATAATTGTGCTTTGCATTCAAACTAATTTACTGAAAGTATGTTGAGACTGACCATGTTTCCTGAAGGCAGAAAACACGGTCTATTTTTTACTTTCCCTCGACCAAAGCTATAAATTAAACTTATCGGTCATCACACTAACCACGGTTTGTGGCCAGCTGGATATGTCGCTTTTACCTAACCAGTTTACTAACTCGTTCTATTCTTTTTATTTAAATGAATAACTATATTTTATTAGGTTTTTCAAATATAGCTGGATTACCAGATGCTCGAATGCCGGGTTCACAGTGCACGCAAGACGCTTTGGAACATTACTTGTCAGATTTGGTAGCAGATGAGCAGAGAATGATGGCAAGTAGTCCTTGTACGGGTTTGGCGCATCCTTATTGCGAAACAACGTCTGGTTGTGTGAATCCATCAGTTTCTCCAAAATCTGGTGAGACTGAGAAGAAAATGTGCTCGACAGATTTATTACAGTTTTTGGAGCAACGCATTGAAAATGCTTTGAGGAATATGACGTCTATGGGTATGCTCAAAATATAAATATTCCTTAAATGAAACCAGGCTAGATTGAGACTATTTATTTTTCTCAAGAATATAATAAAGAATTAACTACTCTATGTAATTTAGTCCGAATGTTTTAGGTGTTCCTTTCAGTTTTTACTTTAAACTTTCCATTACTGTTCTCAGGAGAAACAAATTACAAGTTTTTAATGATTTCCCCCTTTTTACATGCGAAATTCTGGACAGTTTGTTAACATTTCATCAATCGATCTACATAACTCATCGACGAACTGTCTTTTCATTTTAATTTGGTTTTCGAATTTTCCAAAAAGTCTTATATCAGTATATCACTACTTCAAACTCAAAGACAGTACAATTTAGTATTTCAATAGGGACACTATTTTTTCCCCACTTTCTATATGCTTCGTAGCAAGCTTCAATTTTTGAGTATTAGCACAAGTTTATCATTTAGATATCAGGAACCCACTTCTACCCTTTAATTGACTATTATTTTTTAGGCTAGTTTTCCAGTTAAATTATGTAACTAAGCTTATTCTTTTACTGTATTGCATTCATTAACTACATAAATTTAGGCTTGAGTATTTTTTGATAATGTGAAAAGTGTTATCTTCATAAATAAAATAAGTGTCCAAGAGAATTTATTTGGCTTACGAAGCTAACTGAAAAACAAAATTACTCTTTAGTATAAATTTGTCTTGAATAAATTGACTGTTGTAACGGAATTTAATTGGTAGTTTTATCCCCGGTTTTGTTTTATATAAAACAAGTAGATAGAGTTTTTATAATCACTGTGGCTAATGTTAATATGACTGTGCGACTATATAAATTACTATGCCTTGGTAGAGTTCTTACTAAATTCTTTTTTATGGGTAGTGATAAATAACACGTGCCTCTTCTTTCTAAATGTTTGTGAATAAGTGAAGTTTTTAAACCTTTAAATATTTTTCTTGTTTTGGATTATTAGACTCAAAACCATACCCTTATCATAGTACACAAAATCGGATGCGCCCCAATAGAAGTGCTTCCTTAAATCCAGTTTGCGAACCTCGAGTAAAAGGTGTTGAGTCACCGTCAATGGCTGGGAATATCTTTCAAAATCAACCGACATTTGAAAATAATGATTCACAACAGGTTTATTCCAACGAAAACTCTGCTACGCCTCTAAATAGACAACACATTAGTTCTTATTCAGATGAACGCCCAAGCCAAACTTACGCAGAAAGCAATGTGCTTCAGCAATTTAATTTCGATGAGGTTAGCGTTCAAATTGAATGCAATGTGATTTTTGCAGTGTATTAGCACTTTAGTTTAAAATGCAGTAACTAAGTAAATGAATGTGATATTGATTGGATTGTCTTAATCTGTTAAAGTTTTCCCATTGTTTCAAAACAAATAAGAAAGTTGGGCTCAAAATTGTGTTGTTTCAACCGATGGATGTTGAAAATTTAATTTCACGTATTGTAGTGCCGTAAGGTATTGGGCAGCAATGATCACTAGATGTTTTACTCTTATTACCGCTCGTCTTCTGAAATCACTATGCTTATAGATAGAGCGGCGTAATAATTGTTTCAATCGCTAAAATATCTAAAATTTCTTGTGGAGCATTTTTGTGTATTTTGGTTTTACCACTTTCCACAATGATGATGAATCTTTAAATATTGAAAGTAAAAAATTCAGAATCATAGTAACGTTTCATACGTTTTTTAATTCCCGGTAAACATAAACATGAAGAATCTTGTTCATAGTGGTGTTTAGGCTAAGAAACAGCAACCTGATTTACTAAAAGCCTCCAGAGCATTAAGCCCCGCTACTACTTGCCTTTGTACTAGAAGATAAGGAGTATACAAAGACCGAAAATAACTCGAGTTAACCAAAAATGTACTAACTTGGTCTTCATTCTTTGTCAATTTCCTATATAATATTTTTGAGTTCAGAAATGCTAATTCTTTGCTCCACTAGTGTTGAAAGGTTCTTTGATGAAAGTTCTTGGAGGTTTCCTATTTCTCGTTGAGAAGACTATCTTTTCAGGGATGAGGTGAATTACTTTAAAAGTTTGCCAGTATCTAGAATCAGTGTTTATCACCTTCAAAACTTAACGTCTAACCCGGAACCAGTTAATATCTTCACACTTATTTTATAATTAAGTTTGAGGAAATTGAGAGCATGTGGTTATTTGAGTGGTTTGTTTCCAAAGGAAGAATTAATGTGAATGCAAATGTAATTGAGAGATTTACCCTTAATTGTCAGAGGTGTTGACCCGTACGGGTTCATCTCGTATAAACCTGCTAGTTGTTGTTTCCGAAAGTAGTTGGCGGCTATGACTAAGGAGATTTGGATGAATAATTAATGATGAACACGGAAGAATATGAAAAGAATCCATAATTTTTCTAAATACCCGAGCAAAAATCTATATGACTGGTTACCAGAATGACCATCTTTATTGTAGAAAGGACGTTTAACTAAAAGCGGAAAATAAAGGAGGAACATACTGTTTGTTAGTAGTTGCCAAGTTTCGATAATCCTTCTTGATATGCTCTTGTAGAATGTTTATTGTGCATTTCTTAGATGAATATAACACAAGTGATCATTATCTCATCCCTAAAACACAAACCCTTGTTTCGGTGAATGTAAATATTTCGCTGAACATTCAGTTGTCTTAATTATTATTTACTGAATGGTTTCTTAAGTGAACAAGAGATATCTGAGTTTTGACATCTTTATGCTTTAAGGATGAATTTTCTATTTTGACCTTTAAATTTATTCTGTTTTGTCTTTCCTGCCAGTTTATTGAGTAATAGGTTGGCGAATCATCATGTCAAATAGATTTTCTAATTTATTAATTCGTAGAACTAACTACACTTAGCACTATTTCCACTTTTAATATAACCAGTGGATAACTCATTGTTACGATTTAGATCTGTGACTTTAAATTGTCTATAAAAACGGGATTTTCTGGGCCTAATTGATTGAACTGTAAGTAAATTGGGCATTAATTTGTTTTTTTTTGCATTAGAAACACTTATATGGACAAAACGTTTCATATTTTCTACTTGTTCGAGACCTAGGAATCGATATGCTTAATAAAATGTTTTTTTAGTTGCAGTATCTTCTTAAAGCTGTCAGAGATTTGTTGGTGTTACGCACTTCTTCTGCATACACAAATGCTTCACTGAGACAAGATGGATCCAAAATGACTGAACTGGATAAACCACGCAAGCATGGTAAAACTGAACGGAATGAAACATGTGCGGTGTCAAACAGAGATGATCAGAGTATGTGTACGGAGTCACCATATATAGCTAGATCATTATCAAGCAGTCGTAGTAGCAGTGCTGTGAGGAACAATCGCTTTGAGGTGACGTCAGAATCTCGAGGTAGCCGACTGAGTTCCGGAATATCCGAAGACGGTAGCCATTCAAATGCTGACTTAATGCATCAGCGTCTACCCATAGGTTTCCAGCATTTTGAGCGGTATTTGGATAGTAAATTTGGCCCAGATCACCCAACTAACAACGCTTTCACAAACAGTTCGGATGTTCAGTTAAAACCTGAGTCATGTGCGAAAACAATGCAAACGAGTTCAGGAAATTCCTCCTCAGCATTGTCGGGAAATTCATCTGACCACAATTCACACATGTTAACTAAACAAAAACCACACAGTTCCATTCCAATGAATCTAGGAACTACTCAAACAGGTAATATCACCACTAACAAGGCTGAAGAGACCGTCAATCGCTCTTCTACAACACTCGTTTCGCAACACCCCAGTAATTTAAACGAAGTTTCCTGTCCAATGTATACGAACTTGCAGTCTGGTAAGAGTCGACTACCTGTTTATTCCTCTTGTTTTTTGATTTACAAGTCCTACGGTTTACCAGGTAAATCTGTTGGTGTCTTCTCTCCTGGTGCTTTTGGGTTATAGCGTGTTAACAAAATCAGGAAACGCATAAAGTGTTCAGCTTTTGTCATTAAAAATATGCTTGGGTACATTTATATTCCGTTTGTTAACATCCCCTATGACGTTTTCACGGCATCAGAAATGATCAATTCTACATATAAAGACGTGAAACCGTTGGAATCATAATATGGACTTTATGCGATCACTAATAGCTTAAGTTATCCATACTTTTGTTATTGAACAAAAATAGTCTGGACAGTGGTGTTTTATTAAAATAAAATCAGAAGAGGACATTTAACACCAAATAATAGCTTTAAAAATGTTTACTTAAAAAGTATTCGAGAATTAACTGTTCTAACTTCTGAAAGTACTTCACAAAAATGCCGTAGTAGCCCAACTATTAATAAAAATTAGAGATCACATCAATAAACATGAATGAATAGGGTTGTTGAAACTGTTTAATTTTATTGAGATCACGAACTGACCTAAGTTAGACAACTTCCTAAAACCCTAAAACATTAGATGTCTGTTTCATCGTAGTATGAGACTCCTCGACGGCATACATCCACAACTCTGCATCCAAGCATCAAACCTAGGACCCCCAGTCTCGCGCGCTAAAGCTTAACCTGTGGGCCACTGGGCTGGGATCCAGTGGTGTCCAAGTCTAACTTCAGTTAATCCATGATACTGAACAACCACCTTACACGAATAAGACTGGTGAATAACACATTGCATTAGATATTATTCTAAGGCAACTAATAGAAATTAGAAGTTAAGGAAATGAATGAAGAAAATGACGATACAATCAATTTAAAACGTAGTTGTCATTTTTGTATGAAGTTGATTAGTTATACTATAAAAAGCTATTCAACGATGGGTTCGAAAAGCCAAACTAAAATTAAATTCTATGCTACTTGTGGGACACTGCTAATACCCAAAGTATATCCAAACTCAGTTGCCAACATGTAATGGGAATTAACATTGATTTAAAACTTAAATCGTATAATTTAAGAAAAATGGGTGAAAATGTTTCTTTTAGAAGTACTACCCTAGGCTAGCTAACCGACTACAACGGATTTTACGACATATGAATTGTGTTCTGTATTGTTTACTATTGGTCGACAAATTGACCACTGACTATACTTATCTTAAATATCGTATCTGTTAGCAATCTAACATAATTTAATTATTTTATTTTATTCCCAAGATTATTCAGGACAAACAGAATGGAATTTAGATGAAAAACTAACAATGACTAGTGAATCTTGTGCTTCAACATCTAACCAACCTGGTTTGGTCACACATTCACATAACAGTGGATACGTATCTGTTCCCCTCATAAATCACTCAAGCTCTTCTCATACTGGAAACGCAGATAGCAATACTAATCATACGAATTACTGCACAGAGTCAAATAACATATATGCTCCCGATCTTCAACAGGGACAAGCAACTTCTTGGCCACCGAATTGGTATCAGTGGTACATTTCTTCTCACATGTTTCCACAAAGGCATCCATCATATTCACAATTTCCCTACCACCATTACTATTACCCACACCTGAAACAACAACAACAATTCGGTCTTGATCATACAGTTTTTTCACAACGCATGAATCGTTTAGTCACGCCTTTATCTTATGTGGTAAGTCATTATATTGAATTTACACACTATTAGTCTTAGACTGTATTTAAAATTACCTCAGTATTGTTGATCTTCAATATGTTAATAAACAAAGATTTTAATATTGTTACTAATGTTGAAATATAATGGATCATTATGGTGATTTTGTGGTATGAAAACCATATCTATACAGCATGTGAGGAATTCACTACAATAATTTCTGTTTTAAACTAATATTCATTTTTTTACTTAAATAATTATCTAGTATTCGTTCTTTTGGATTCATTTTTCTATCGTGTTATCGAATTCACCAGTCAAAACATTCCTGATATTGATTTTGTTAGATTCTGCAAGGTAATCAGTTCCACAGTAAGTACTCGTTCTCGATGTTGTGTGTTGATGTTAACTGATACCTTTCATTAGGTCTGTATGTGTATAAGCTGTGAGGCAAGCCTTTGTTATAGCAAATAACCTAACCTATTCTGTATCTGGTTTATTTATTATGCAACTGGTATTTGTTTGAAATTTATGTTGATCATCTGCTGTGTTCTAGTTTTAGCTTAACAATTTCCGTTGTTTATTTGTCCTTATTTCTGTTATAAGATCATTTTTGTTGTTATGAGCCTCTGTTTATTAAAAAAAACATTTCAGTAAAATCAGTTTACGAGTAATACGTTGATATTCATCACAGTAATCTAGAAGCTATTATGTTTCGATACTTTGTTGTAAGTTTTACATTCGAGTTATCTAGATTGTTGTGATTAGTTTCTTAAAAGTATTGGGTTTTGTTTATGCTTTAACGAGTACTAATGAAAACCCAACATCAAACTGTATGAAATCGTTTATTTTATAGATATCTACTATTAATAAATAGGTATCTGTAAATGTTTTTGAAAAACATACACAATAATGTGGTAACCAAAAAATCATACTAGTTTCAAGTACTAGACTCTGCAAAAAATACAACAGAAAGTCAACGGGAATATAATGATATCAGTACAACCAAGCAAATTATAAACTACAGAAAGAATGGGTAAATAACAAATTTCCAATGCTTATGATTTATAGGTAAACAACCAAATAGAATTTATAAACTCTACACAATTCCTGGGGCATGGTATGCAAACCTGTGAGTCATAGACGAGTTGTACGGTTACAAGACATATTACACTAATCACCCACCCACTACATAGGATGATAATCACACTATAAAGCAGATTGACTTTTAATAGAAAGTTCCACCGATATGATTTTAGTGCATTGGTTGAGTGTTAAAGTATCAACCACCTGATTTTGAAGTCCTAACCTTATTCTTGTTCATTGTCTATTTAGAATAATGATGAAGAAGGCTAAATTAATGCTGAAAGTTTCTCAATGATCGATATATTGATATTAACTTTTTAAGGAGAATATCGTGAAATCAACTCATTTGTTGAAATTTACTCTTTGACCATATAGTTTCCAAGTCATTCACGTAGCTTAAATTCTGCACTATTTGTTACATGAAATGTTTCCCATATCATAACGAAATGCTGATCAGTAGGTTGAGAAAGGTGGTTTTAATAATCATAGTTCACATAATTCTAAAACCAAGATATGGCTTAATGTTTTATTACTGGTTCTAACTCAATGACTTGCATATATAAATATATATATATATATATATATATATATATATATATATATATATATATATATATATATATATAATTTTTGGTGCAAAATGTTAGAAAATCGATTGTATATTATCTACTTTTACAACACACAGATGAATTCTCCTCCAAACTATTCGCCATCGGGGCATTTTTGCTGCATGGATCCAAGCCATGGACACGTATACGAAGGCAATTGTACATCCCCTTTGACTGAAAGTTGCCATTTCGTCTCCTATGATCCACAGACTACAGAAAACCCACTACAAGCAACAGCAGCCGGTGGTCTATGCTCATGTGCAAATCCTGATGGAATCAAACGATTTGCCAATATAAACTACACCTATTCGGATAGAATCCTAGCAAATTCTTATGCAGCTTATAGACCGTCAGGTGTGTATTCACCTCCACCTGGTTATCCTTGGTTTCCTTGCATGAACGCTGTTCGCTGGGATCCATTTTCTTATAGTAACAACAATAACCTAGGTATGTCAATGTTTATTTGTGAATTTCTATCGAAGGTGTCCCATTTTATTGTGTTTCTTGCCTCCCACTACACTAAATCATGTTTTTAAGTCAGTCTGAGTATTAGTTTACCGAGCTAAACGTTATTTCTTCGGCTTGGAAGTGTCATTGGACATGATTTACGACACTGTCTATCACGTGATTCTAGAGTACTTCCAGTAAAACAAAATGTCTGTTGATAAGTTAGTAGCATTAAAAAAGAATATTTTGTTTTAGGATGATACAACGTGCTTAGTTCAAGGAATCTTTCTCACCTTGGTTACGATGTACCTAACTACTAAAATAATGGTTGAAGGAAATGTGGACACGACTCTAGGATACAAAAGTAATTTGAGAGAACCTTAGTATTACGTCAAAAAGAACGGATGTAAGTTGAGACGGTAAAAAGAACTGATTAGTAATAAAAATATATACAATAAACAGAAAATTAGTCAGTAAATTTTTTATCGATAGCTGTCCTATTATCTATATTTTTCGACTCATTTCGTTATTGAGACCCTCAATAATATGCGTAATACTGACAAGCGAGTTGATTTAATTTGTCACTCTCACATATTAGAATAAAATTGTTCTCTCAACTATATTTTTAGTTTCACCGTTTCACAGTAAAACCCACTATCGTAAGCTTTCCATCCGTAATTATGAATGATCTAAGAATTTTGTTCTTCACTGACCATCCGAGATGTATAGTTTTTTGCAACATTACTAGAAGTTCTAAACCATGAAGATAATACCATGCACACATGAAATCTAAGATTATTTTGAACAGTATATTAGTGACAGAAAGTTATTTATCATGTTAAAAGAAACGAGCAAAGAGTTGTTTCAAGGCATCGTATGTATTTGTTACAATAAATATGTGCACGACAAGTTTTTCTAGTTAAGAATAATAGTACCTGTTTTATTATCTCAGCATAGTTAAATAAGGGAAAAGTAGAATGGGAGTGTTTTCATACATCCTCCTAGACTAAGCTGTTAGTTGAAGTTAATATGCTAATTAATATAATAGAATCCTTTGACGGTTATCTTTTGTAAGTCAGTTAAAAAGTTACCTTAAAAAATCTATATTTTAAGATACCTCTAATACAACTACATCTTAACTGTACAAATTTAGATAAATCGTTAACACAGGAATCTTTACACACACTCTATACAATAAGAAATCAGTTCATACTCCCCAACATAATTTCATTACCAACCATATTCCTGTATATTTATCATTAAAAGGAACTAAGTAATATTGTCATTCACTGAGCCAAAAAATACGATTGCTTTTTATAAATCAGGCGGAACATGTAACAGGAAAAAAACAGTTTGGATTATTCAGCCTACTTTTTCTCAACATTTTCCTGAATTCATTCATTTAAAGAAATAAGAGCGATTATAAAATATTGTTTTATTTTGTAACTTCCATCTAAAGAATCCTTTGTTCTACAGTGAGAAAGCTAATTATTCACTTGTGATATAATTATAATTTGTATGTATTTCATCTTTTTCACTTTGTGTATTTTTCTCTATACACTTCAGTGTTAAATTTAATGAATACCAGATGATATATTGGCAGAGATGCCCTTTTGTTTGAAAATTCATTGTTGGTGGCATTTAACATTTCGTTTATTTATTTTTCTTACCATTCTTTCTTCCGTATGTATGTGTGTATGTGAATACAAGTAGTTGAATGTGTCGAGTTTCGTACACTTGAAGCATTCATAATACGACTTCTTTTTTCTAGATATTTTCACATTAGGTAAATTTAAGTATTATGTGAACACATACCTAATCTGATGTACTTTTCGTGGTATTTTCAAAAAAATATATTTATTTTCATGTGTGCAGTTATATGCTGTCAAATCAGTGAATATTAGTCTAACTTGAAATTACGGCAGGTGTCAGTTTGCTAAAAAAATTCTCGTGTTATTTTAAGAAAATTAAGCAAACTGATATAGGTTGGAGAGTTTTTTGTTTAATGTCATGCTTTTCGAAGATCAGTAATGCATACTAGTTTTTGTATGTTTATTTACTGCCTGAGTTTTGAGGTTAAACATATCCATACATTTGAAATTCATACTTTATTCCTTTATATTTTCAGTATTGATGCTGTCTATATTTATCGATAAGTGGAGATCTGTCGGTTATAATCAATGTATAGTCTGGCACATGGCTTCGTTACTTTAAATCATTGCATTATATTAGCAAGAAAATATGAAATTAACAGAATGAATAACGAAGGAGTTAAAGTAATGTAGTAGTAATGATAATGAAAAAGAGTAATCACTCGTAATATAGTTCAGGAAGCACGAATGAAAAGATGTGTATAATGAAATACAGGAACTCGATATCTAGAGTAAATTAAAGAGTAAATGCTTCTGTGCCATTGTGACCAATTCTGACTAAACGTCTAAAGATACTATTTAATACTTAAATTACTTAAATTTGAGTTATATATGACAGAACTGAATCCTGCTCCACCAACTTTGCATTTAAGTAGTCGGAAAGTATCAACCGCTAGCCCCAACACAATATGTGTGATTTGAACTCGAGTACATGAATTTGTACTTTGTAAATGAGTAAACAAACACTTTTTTTCAATGTGTATGCTAGTAAATACGATTAATTTATATTTCACTAAATTCTTATCTAGATTATGACATTTTTATTTCCTTAGAAATTAGAAGAATCCGAAATATTTGGACGATTTATTCCTTTTAGGTTGATTAAAAAATCCATAAGTTATATGTTCTCATCTGCTTTTTCCATCTTAGTGTGATTAAAACTTTACTTTGCCAAAAAAGAAATCTAGGATATACATAACGGCCTTTATTCTCGTGAGTTCTCATGAATACTCAACGACATTGTTAACTTTAAATAAAAACGTAGTCTGGATGATATAGACAAGGAAAAAAATTCAATTTGAAGTAAAACGTTGAGAGTATTATAACAACAGGACACTACAACACTTTTCCTTTACCTAGAATTAATTATTGTTTAATAAAGTTGATATTATGAATACGAAATGGAGTGGTTACAAAATGCATACATACACTTGTAGCTATTATAACATCATCTTACATGTTCATTATTAAACATTTGTCACGTTATACAGTCTGATTTTGCTTACATCAATTGGTATAATTTTTTTTCAAAAACATGTGAAATCCAGAATTTTTCTCCATATGCTTGTTTTTGATTCAAGACATTATATTTCCTTTATTTTGAGATATATAACTAAGAATTTTATAACCTCCATGTGATGCATGTATACATTGGGTAAATGTATTAGCTCACTTAATTTTTTATCTTACAGAAAATTACAATTGGAATGCTTATTTTCAACGTCCGACTTATGGACGATTTACAAATTGTATGCCTCGTTCTGGTAGCGCAAATGCTGGGTTTACATATTCGTCTGAAACAGATAATTTATCAAGTCATACATCTGAACGTGGAGCAGCTTCAGAACTTGATAGATTTAAACAAAATAGCAATCGTTGTGAGCATTATTATGCAGTTAATCCAAGTAACCAGGTATTTATACTGTCAGATCAAACAAATGATGCACAAAGCTTCTTTCATCACAATAATAATAATGGTAACGTTTTACAGTCTCCGGCTTTACGCTCAATGACTAATTCGTTTAGTGCCAATGATTTAGCCGCTTATCATAATCAAAGTAGAATAGGAATGAGATATACTAAGTCAAGTTTTGATTTAGCTCCAGAATTACCCGTTGAACCGGGATTAGCTTTAATGGATCATTCTAATTTCTATTCAAAAATTTCAGTAAGTTTCACATGTAAATTTTTAAATACTTTGAGTAAATCTGTGTGCTTTTTTCAATATAGTTTTTGTTCAGTTTCTGTTAATCACTTTATCTAACTATTTTATTAATCAGAAATAGATGCTTATGCTTGTTTTAGCTTATCATAAAATATGTTTTCTAACTTTATTTGAGTGATTTCTTCCATTGAAAAAATATTTCTAGTCATTAATTGAAATGGACAACAATAGTCGTTTAATTTTACCGAATGGATGGTCTGAAAGACGATCAGGTCTTGGTCGATCATATTATACATGTGATTCAACCAGAAGATCCACATGGAATCATCCACTTATTGGACCGTATGTACCACTGGGATGGGAACGTGTTGATTCAAGTCAATCAGGTGTTTACTATCAAAAGTAAATAATGAAAAATTTACCATTCTCATAATTAATAATTATTACATTACTATGTTATACTTTTATTTGTTTATTCCTGGATTAGTATATAAAAATCTATCCTCTGTAGTGGCTTTTTTAATGTCCAATAAACAGACAACTACACATCTACAAATTTATGTTGTGTGATGTTAAGCGTTGTTCTTATCAAGCGGATATATACGAGTGTATCAAGTTTGGGGAATTTTTATTACAGGGGCCTTATAAAGGTTACTAAAACTTTATAGTTTATATCACTGATTGTTCTCAGTCAGACAACCATTGAAAATTAAAAAACACTGGACAGCTGTTTAGTCCTAGTATGGGACTTCTCAGTAGTAATCATTCCTACCGGGGACTGAACACAGGACTTTTAGGTTTCTCTTTGAGATCTTTACCTTTAGACCAATGACCTGACATCCAACGGTGCATATATCTAAATTCAATTAATCCTCGATATTGAGGAATTTATTTCTAGTCTCCATATATATGAAATACTCATACTTATCGTTTATATTGGGCGATAATATCTCCTAGAATTTGTCTTATTTGACCATCATTTCAATTTATTTAATCTCTTAAACTACTTTCAGTTGAATGATTATATACACTTTATGTTTAGTCTTGCAATGCAGGGAAATCCATTGTTCTGATGTCGATGCTAAAAGGGCACAACGTTCTTGATAATTTATATAGAAGAAAAATTTAATTATTCGGAAAATATTTCTCTTTCGACCAATATTTGACTTCTTTAGCATTAGGTATTGAAACAAATACCGAACTATCTTATCATACCAGTAAAGGGTTTTCAGACGTGAGATCCATGACAAATTGTTAACATATACTGAAAGTTTCTTATCTCAGTGCAGCATTGAATTAATTGCAGTGTAAATTTTTTCTTGAATATCTAGTCTACTAATAAATTTTCAGGTTTGAATCTTAACTAATTAAGGTCAAATGGAGTTTTCTAGTACATTGGGCGGAAGACTGCTGTCTCAATACAAGTTAAAACATTGCCTGGATCTGTATTTGGTCGTCTGATGGCAAAATGGTCAACTGATTAAAATAATCTCTCATGAAATAACCACCTCTTTGAAGTTGCTTAGAACCATATTATGTTACTTTTCTCTTTTGAATCAATCGTTTGGTAGCGCTTATGAACTTCACAATTCCCGACTTCATTAGTATAACTTCAGCAAATCCATACTGTTAAATCACATCAATAAAAGTTGCTAACTATCAATCCACTTCTTGTACCTTAATACTATATGAGTCTGTTTTGGAAATAATATATAAAGTGTATCAAAGTGTTTCTCAAGAACGAACTAATAGAAATAAAATATCTTTTATTTTATTTGGAACGTAAAAGCTAAAACAGTGCATCAAAATGAAAAAAATCCAACAAAAGTAGTCAAATACAATAATGCAAAACCTTATACAAATACATCGATTTGATTGAGATCATGAACCGATTGATGTTAGACCATCACTGAAAACCTGGAAGTAATGGACGTCCGTTTCATCCTAGTATGGGACTCAGCAGTGTGCATCCACGTTCCCGCTTGCGGGGTCCGAGCCTAGGACCTTCGGTCTCGCGCGCGAACGCCTAATCTCTAGACCACTGAACCGGCATCCAACGGTGTTGATGTCTAAACTCAACCAATCCACGAAATTGCGCGACCATCTTCCATTGTACCTAGGGAGATATCTCTCTCTACCCGACACGGATTAGCTCCGCTGGTCACGGCGTGAATCGTGGATGTGGACTTCGGAGAAGTCCCACAATGAGACAAAACGGCCAGCCAGTGCTTCCAGGTTTTCAGTGGTGGTCTAACATCAACCGGTTTATGATCTCAATCAAAAACTTGATGCTCTCCACAACCCCATACTGATACATTTGGTTTACTTTGGCGAATTGCTTTATGTAAAGCTCATAGTTATTGTCAGTAAATTCTGTTAATCATAATCTCTACATTGTTTCTGGTTGTGTGCTATATCTACACATACACAGGGAAAGAATAATTTGTCTAGTTTCTATTCCATAGTATAGAGAATATTTGTTTGTAATCAATGTATGAATAAATGCCTGATTACTTTCGTTTTATTTTTGTTGACAATTGACACAATATTTTGATAATTAAAAGGAATATCAAAAAAGCTTATAATAGTGTGAAATAGATTATGAATAAAAATGATATTAAAAAGATGTATAAATTGTTTGATGTCTAATAAGTTGAAAACCTGTTGTGCCTCTATGGAAATTAAGCCTTTACTAGCGGTTGTTCGATTAAGGATAAATTTCTGAACATTTACCTTTTCATAAAATGATACTCTCCTAATGTATATGAAACGTAGACAACGAATCCAGAAAGAAAACTACTACTACTACTACCACTACTACTACTACTACTACTTTCATCACTTTGTACCATTAACTATGTAAAATATGTAAAGTGTTAATTAAATTATTTATCATGTAGTAAAAGTTTAAATTGATGAATTCTAATTTCCATATTTTCATTCTATTTTCTCTAATTTCTTTAAATGAGATGTTTTCATACGTAATGTAGTGTTACTTTGAGGAAAAATTCAAGTGAGAGATAATTCAGTATCATAGTCTAATCTTTGAATAAAGGCCACTTTGACTTTTCTTCTGCTTTAAATCACACTCATAAGTTTTCAATATATTTTTACTGCGTATTTTTTAGTTTGCTTATTCCTCACTGTCAACGTCATCATCCCAACCTCTGGATTAATGCTCCTTTAAAAGATCCTGAAGTAGAACGTAAAAGTTTCTTTACCGATCTACGTAAACTACAATTATCCCTACGGCATAATTTGCTTGGTATGTTTATTGTTATTGATATAAAACTTTTCTCTTCACAAACTGTTAAAATATTTTTGTTCATTCTAAGAATTTAGAAACGGATTTCAGCATTTTGATTAATGGTCAATTGATCTTTCATTGTTTTTCCTTACTCTCATCCGGTATATTCCAACAGGAACTTGAGATGAATGCATTTTTAAAAATTTTTCCATAGACTAGTCATAGTGTTGTTTTCACGTATTCAAGTGTTAGTCTTATAGTAAATCAATTTTTTAAAATCTTATTGTATGTTCCACTTTTTTTGTAAAAAAACTATTTGATAAGCAACAATCCTTTCAACCTGTTATTTATCATAAAGTACCACTTATCAATTTTGGGAATTTGCAGAGATTTTCGTATTTTCAAGGTTGAATTCACAAGTCGACCTAAACCTGACCACCGTTGAAAACCTAGAATAACTGGACAGCCGTTTCATCCTAGTATAGGACTCATCAGCAGTGCGCATCCATGATCCCGCACGTGGGACTCGAGCCCGGGACCTTCAGTCTCGCACGGAACGCATCCAACGATGTCAATGTCTAACTCCAATCAATCCATGATCTTGTGTAACCCTTCATCCATTACCTGAGTTGAATACCTGTCCTACGTTTTTTTCAGCCTGTTATTTATCATAAAGTACTATTTAGTTTAACTATTGAATACAAATGAATTTCCTTTAAGTAGATAATTATAATCAACTTATTGTAAGACAAGAATATATTTGCGATAACTTATCACACTAAGGGAAATTTTGTAAAGACGCGATTAAAATGAAAATAGATGAACCATTTATGTATGTCCTATAATAAAGTGACCGTGGACACAATGTTTAATTAAAACTATATTTTTTTATAATCAGTTTTTTTCTATATTCACTTAAATATGTAGATAATGGTTGATTCAATTTTCAATTTATGCTCACTTTACTAATTTTTCGCTTAAATATTTTTATCTATCTTACAGCTTGCCATAGTGAAGTGGGTGCATATAAAAATGCTAACTCAGAACAAGAACAATACTTTATAGTAAGTTGATACTCTAACTTAAATTTATTAGAATCGTTATACATATATTCTGGTCATCATTTTCATCTAATGATATACAATAAAGGAACTTCGTGTTATTTATGATTTTCGACTGACTCAGTTGTTTTGACAACAACCTACTTTCAGTCTACATAAGCAAAAAAATCTACCCATATTAAGTGGATAGGTGTATTGCATCAGAATTATTATGTGATAACTTTCAAGTATGAAAATTCCTAACTGCTAACTATTATATAAATGGTATCATAATTGAAAACCCACTTGTAACTTATTCTTCAACTATAATTAATTGTATTATATATTTTAAACCAAATGATTAGTTTCTCATATTGTATAATAAAATGCATAGATACAGTCGATGTAAAAGTTATCCAATAGGTTAAATTAAATAAGGAATTTCATTTAAATACTTTTCTCCCCTAAATCTATCTTGCGGACAAATCTCATTTTCGGCTATATATATATATATATATATATATATACATATATCTTGACTTGTGAATTGTTTTTTCCAGTGCCTGGAATGTTGCTTCAATGTACTAATTGCATTTTTGTAACAGATTTCTATAAGTTTTGCTTTTTCATTACTTTCTTCTAAATTCAACGATATTTAAATATTACTAGTGACATTGCTTATAATTAATATAATAAGTTTATAACTTGAAGGCAAGCATTCCAAACAGTAGTAAATGCAGTAATATTAATGATATGAAAGAAAAAAGTCTATATATACACCTTGTTTGAATGTTCTGTATTTCAATGTCTTATTGGTTTAGTAAAACGAAATAGAGACAATCACAATGGATAGAAACTTTTTTTTTAACATAGATTAACTAAAATAATCACCTGTTAATCGTGTAGTACACATTCCTTTCTTTTCATAGTCAAACATAACTTTTTTAATACTTTTCTTTGTAGACCGTAAATATCAAGTTTATTTTACATACATTAGTTTTCATTTTTCTTTTATTCACCCTATACATTGTTAAAAACAAAATCTCAAATATATATTGTTAAATATCAGACCTCCAAGTTTGTAAGTCAAATCCCTAACATTTGTATGAATGTAGACTAGTCTTTATTCGGAAGAATTGGAATGTTAAACAACGATTTTATACAGTTTAACTTCATGGCACGAATTTGTGAAAATTTATGCACAAATTCTTTACTTTTTTCAATTTGTTGAATAAACACTTGCCTGTAAAACTGTTCACAAACAACAATCGTAATAGTATTAATGATTTTCGTAAAAACCTTAATAACAGAATACTTTCAAATCTGATTGGACAGATTTTGGTATGTGTGAACTTCTCTATGGTAATATTTTTCTAGCACATACCAAATAATAAGCACGTGACTGGGAATAACGAGTGGGCAATAAGAACATCACAGTTTTACATCTATGTACATCTCCATGTCTTTATAGACAAGTATATGCATATGTCTATGTGCATTTGGATACAAAAATTGAAGTCCATTTTATTATCATCTGTTAATCAAGTTTACATTGACACTAACAGGAATGTCTAAGCTTAGAAATACAATACTACATGTTTGTTAATCAATATTTTCTTTTTGGCAGTATAATGTACAATATATATTCTGTGATATTTTTCCGTGACAATGCTTAAAAATATTGATAACTACCAATTGTTTCTAAATTTGTATACTTCTAAGAGGGAGTGACTTTTTACATAATAACTGGTCGTTTTAATTTATTGACCTACCTAATAGCTCCAAAGTGTTCCGAATGATACTTTACCGTTTTACACCAGATGAAACGAAATGACTTATCAATTAACTTCTATCGAGCCAGAAATTATATGAATATTCTTATTATCCATATCCATGGTTAGTAAATTATAATAAGATATACATCATAAGAAATCCTGCGTTTATTTTTCTTGATTATGAATAATATAGGATAAGGAATGATTGATACTGTCCGGTGTATGGTAATTCGGGTTAATTTATAACTCCTGTTAGTTTTATTATAATTTACGGTATTACATATTCGTTGAACACTTATTTGTTTGTTACTTTTTTCGACTGTATGTAAAGAAGTCAGTTATGAATTCATAGTCGGTATGTTTATATATCAGTATCATGTATTGTAAGAATTGGTTATGGATTTCATGCGTCAGATTGTCAAATTTCTCCAAAAGTTAAGATTTGTGATGGTTCTTAACAGATTTCCTCTAAAAGCTTACATGTTTACACCTAAATATAGTCTAACCATTTATCACTGTAAAATTTTTTATGACTCTTTCTCATAGGTTAACTAATTATCACAATCTGGCTTCATCTGAACATAAAAATCCTATTTAAACTGTTGCTCATAACTCCTCTTATTCAAGCCCGACCGTTGTTGCTATCTTGACATGGTGGCGGGGCTTGCCTATCGTGATGAACCGATCGAACTACACAGGCTGGAACAATCGTTCCTCAAGGTCCTATCATGTCAGGCAGGGCAGTTGAAGAGCGGTAAGACTAAAAGCAGTAAACCCACTAAAAGGTCGTGTATGACCGACCTCAAGCAGTTGTCTCCTGGGCACTGCGGTCACGCTCTCAGGTCACTAAGACCAATTTCTTTTTCAGGTACTTCTAGAAGAACCAACTCCGCCTGGAGTCCCTCCGGAATTACTCCCGGCCCAAAGCCCGGATAAAGAAGGAGGGTTGGGCATAGGGTTAGCGACTCCATCCCATAGAAAACTAACTCACTAAAAAATCGCCAACCAGAAAAATTATTCAAACCATTTAAATCCTGCCCTGAGAGTCAGAAGGTCTTCATTTAGAAGAGTTATGACGCCTCATGATGAAAGCCAAGTTCCTTCGGAATTCACGGGGCCGATGCCCCTTCTAACAACCAGAGCAACCATTTATTTAGGTACGTGGAATGCTCGTACAATGTGGGACACCGGGAGAGTTTTTCGAATTGCTGCAGAAATCAGGAGATATAACCTAGAGGTTCTTGGGATCAGTGAAACATATTGGACGCAAGTTGGACAACAACGACTAGCTTCAGGGGAGCTTCTGTTATACATGAAGAAGAAAGTGCACCATATACACAAGGAGTTGCATTGATACTGTCCAAACAAGCACAAAAAGCACTTATAGGATGGGAATCTCACGGATCCAGAATCATCGAAGCATCATTCACAACAAAAAAAGAAGGCATTTCAATGAACGTCATCCAATGCTATGCCCCTACCAACGACTACAATGAAGACGTTAAAGATCAATTCTACAATAGTCTGCAGTCAATCGTCGAGACGTACCCAACAAAGAACTTGACCATTCTGATGGGAGACCTAAATGCCAAGTTTGGAATGAACAACATCGGATATGAAGACATCATGGACTAGGAGAAGTAAACGAAAATGGTGAGATTTGCAAACCTATGTGCCTTCAATAAACTGGTCATAGGCGGCACTATATTCCCACATAAACACATACACAAAGCCATATGGACTTCACCAGACCACACTACACAGAACCAAATCGACCATATCTGTATTAACAAAAAGTTCAGGAGGACGTGAGAAACAAAAGAACTGATATAGCATCAGATCATCACTTGCTGGTCTCCAAGATCAAACTAAAACTCAAGAAGCACTGGACAACGGGGCGGACGATATCACAAAAGTCCAATACGGCTCTTCTTCGAGATACTGACAAACTCAACAAATTCAAGATAGCCCTCAGCAATACGTTCCAGGCCTTTCATGATCTACTCAATGGAGAAGGAACTACTATGGAGAGCAACTAGAAGGGGATCAAAGAGGCAATCACTTCAACATGTCATGAGGTCCTGGGTCACAAGAAGCACCATCACAAGGAATGGATCACTGTTGATACACTGGATAAGATTCAAGAAAGGAGGAACAAGAAGGCGGCAATCAATACCAGTCGAACAAGAGCAGAAAAAGCCAAGGCACAAGCTGAATACACAGAAGTAAACAAACAAGTGAAGAGGAGCATCAGAACCGACAAACGTAAATATGTGGAAGATTTAGCAACGACGGCGGAAAAGGCTGCAAGAGAAGGAAACATGAGAGAACTGTATGACACGACAAAGAAACTCTCTGGAAATCGCCGCAAACCAGAACGACCAGTGAAAAACAAGGAAGGCGAGGTAATCACCAACATTGAAGAGCAACGAAACAGGTGGGTAGAACACTTCAAAGAACTCTTGAATCGGTCAGCCCCGCTGAACCCCCCCAACATCGAAGCAGAATCCACAAACGACCACCCAATCGATGTTGGCCTACCAATAATTGAAGAAATCAGCATGGTCATCAGACAAATCAAGAGTGACAAAGCAGCAGGACCAGACAATATTCTAGCAGAGGCACTGAAAGCAGACGTAGAAGTAACTGTGAAGATACTCCATATTCTCTTCAATAAGATTTGGGATGAGGAACAAGTAAAAAGTAACAATATCAGGACAAGTCTTCAACAAGGTATTGTTAAACAAAATGAAGGACTCCGTAGATGCCAAACTTCGAGACCAACAGGCTGGATTCCGTAAGGATCGATTATGTGCAGACTAGATCGCAACACTATGGATCATTGTGAATCAATTGAATGGAATTCATCACTCTACATCAACTTCATTGACTACGAGAAAGCATTTGACAGAGTGAACAGGACAACACTATAGAAGCTTCTTCGACACTACGGTGTACCTGAGAAGATAGTCCATACCATACGGAATTACTATGATGGATTAAACTGCAAAATCGTGCATGGAGGACAACTGACAGACTCGTTCGAGGTAAACAGCGGTGTTAGGCAAAGTTGCCTACTCTCACCCTTTCTCTTTCTCCTGGTGATCGACTGGATCATGAAGACCTCAACATCTGAAGGGAAGCACAGGATACATTGGACATCTAGGATGTGGTTGGACGATCTATACTTCATAGATGATTTGGCCCTTCTATCCCAAACGCAACAACAAATGCAGGAGAAAACGGCCAATGTAGCAGCAGCCTCAGCAGCAGTAGGTCTCAACAAACACAAAACGAAAAGCAAGATTCTCCGATACAACACAGCGTGCACCAATCCAGTCACAATTGACGGAGAAGATTTGGAAGATGTAAAAACCTTTACACATTTGGGCAGCATCATTGATGAACAGGGTGGATCTGATGCAGATGTGAAGGCGCGGATCGGCAAAGCAAGAGCAGCATATTTACAACTGAGGAACATCTGGAACTCAAAGCAACTGTCAACCAACACCAAGGTCAGGATTTTCAATACAAATGTCAAGGCAGCTCTACTGCATGGGGCGGAAACGTGGGGAACTACGAAAGCCATCATCCAGAAGATACAAGTGTTTATTAACAGTTGTCTACGCAAAATACTTCGGATCCGTTGGCCAGACACTATTAGCAACAACCAACTGTGGGACAGAACAAACCAGATCGCAGCGGAGGAAGAAATTAGGAAGAAGCGCAGGAAGTGGATAGGTCACACATTGAGGAAAGCACCCAGCTGCGTCATGGGACAAGGCCCCATATGGAATCCTCAAGGCCAAGGGAAAAGAGGAAGACTAAAGAACACATTACGCCGGGAAATGGAGATAGACATGAGAAAAATGAACAAGAATTGGATGGAACTAGAAAAGAAGGCCCAGGACAAAGTGGATTGGAGAATGCTGGTCGGTGGCCTATGCTCCATTAAGAGTAACAGGCATAAGGTAAGGTCTAAAAGAACCCCTCCACGGTGTGGGCGACCCGGAAGTGATAACCACTCTCACACCTCTAACATTACTCAGGACCACTGTATAACCTCTTATTCAAGTTACTACACAATATAATCTAATATAAAGTGCTATCTCGTGGAAGAATATCGACCCATTTTTTCCTCAGTAGAAAATACTGCTTATAGGTACTTTTTTCATCACCTGGATTCATTTGAATGTTCTTGCATCTTTTTGTCGTAACATACCAACTAATAAAACCTGTTTATTTCTTTATAATAAGCACTACAATTGATAGGATGCTAAATTTCTGGCCACCCTACTCTGATTTACACAATCCCGAAGTGTTGCTAAGACGCATAGGGATTTATTTGAAATACATTTTATAGACTGATATTTGTTTTTTAAACGTGATTACAGTATGTGTTGGTAAGAATTGTGAGTGTTAAGAAATAAATTTCAGTATCAAGAGCAATTAACGAACGTCATTGTCTTTGGTCTGTATCTGCTATGATTTATATGATGTAGACTTATTAACTTCGGACAGATAACCAGTTATATGTGATTAGCTAGAAAAGTGTATTTTGTCTACTCTGGTTGGCGGCTAGAACACTCGATACATGTGACTTTCTCCCGATTCTATTACACTAATATTGTCTGTATAATCATAAGTAAACTTTACTTAAGATGATTAGCATGCTTCTTACTAATTCTTAATAAGACTCGGATGGGGATTTAGGGGTATTCTTTGGTTAATATTTAAATTAGTAGCTCTGTCTTATGATCTTAATTACTGAAAACCAATATTCTCATTGAGACCCTATGTCTGTGATATCTTGAATTCCTATTTACTTGTTGTTTTAACATTTTTGCTTCTCGATTTCATTTATCTTTGCTTTTTCTTAGAGCCGATTTCGATATTTGAAATTAGAGTCCCTAATGGGAATGATTTATGGTTTGGATCAACTGTTCTACCAAGATCTTCATGCTTTAGTGGTATCCTTCGAACAAGAAAGAATGTCAGTAGTTTCTCATATGTTTGCGATTCGACCGCCAGAGAAAACCTTCCCCCAGTTTACAGATCCTTAACTTAACCCTCATTTATACGTTAATCCTTTAAAATTTGTTAAAGTGTTTGATTTCTTATTCATTTAATTTTGTACAGAAATCTGTGTACTATTTACTTCTCAACAAATGCACTAACTATGGACTCTTTGTAAGAATATTCACGAGTTTGAAGTATTTAAACTTTCATGTTGACTAACCGGTTAGTTATATTACAGTGAGATGAAACTTTTAGTAAAACATTGAATATCTGCTTAAAGTTTCAAATATATTCGATACTCCTATCATAATTTTGTGTTGAAAACAATTATCAGTGGCTAATTGTATTCCTTATGATTTATTTCATCTTAACTTTTCCCTGCATCTCAGATTTTAAATTTATCATTCCTATGAAGGACTTTCCTTCCAAATCGAAAAGTTATGAAGTTGTTTCACATCCACTAGTCACCAAAAATTGTTGGTACTGAATCACCATGATTCTCAAAAATTGTTCATCATAGTTCGTCTTCAAGTGGCGTCAGTAGGCTCTGTTCTCAATACATGCATTAACATGCAATGAGAAGACACCGAATAAAATGTTGACGTAGTGTAACTATTAGTTGTTCCTAGTCTACATTTTGAACATATGACTCTCAAAGTTATGGTACACCGACACCTTCGAGTGGTGAGAGATTGAAGCTATCAGTGAATGACGGCAGTCTCTTCACATAAACTGTTTACAGGTTATATGATTACTTTGGATCCTAAGGACGCTGAATGGAACCCAGTTTACAGACATTATTCATCTCGACTTGTTAAAATTATATTATTACTGTGCAACAGCTTCTTGAACATACTTTGAGATAAATGTCATCTTTTATGAATAACTTTTTCGGTGACCCTATAAGTTATGGGCTAAACAATCAGATTAAAAATAATGAACAATAGATTTTTGCAGGAAACTCCAAATGTAATGAAGGATGGTTTGTACTGTATTACAAGATAAGTCAACAGTGTTTGTATTTTGTTATTAATATGCTTGAAGTCGATTAGCACTTTGTTTTTGCAAGTACAAAGTAAGTACGACGTAGTGCGGTAAGTAAGCTATGGAAAGCCCGTGGTGCTGACGAATATTGTATCGCTAACAGCAGTGACTAGAGCGTATTTAATGTGATTTAGGAAATAATCAAGGATGTTTTGTGCGTCACTTTAAAGCACCCATGCATTACAATCTGCTCAATACTGAAGAACTACCTATTTATATACGGTTCATGCAGTCATGGACTAGAATCTACACGAATGATTAGAGATTGTAAAGCTTACAATAATCGTTCGTAGACGTTATTTCATCGGCTTAATAACTAGTGTCTAAATCTTTAATGTTGAGGCAATACAATCACAATTAAACGACCATATTCTGTCTTACAAAGGTCGTAAAGATTTGTATAGCACAAATTCAAGTTAGAGTTCATATGTACCTTTGAAAGATTGTTAAAATTATTAGTTTGTCAACCGTGTAGAAAGAGTCTATATATACATGCATTTTAATTATTCCGGTTTTACGTCATAAATTATTCACTTCTACTACCTGCTTTCTAATTAGCCGAAGTTTTGCCCGAGATCAACCATAAAGTATGGTATCGATGACTTCTGCTTAAGTACACAGAGTTTTTGCTTGGGTGTGATGTTTCATTTTACAAACAATAATCGGTGAAAATTCCCATTTTGCCATTTGGTAAATAAATCGGTAAATAATCGGTGGGCTACTAAGTCCCACTTTTATTCATATTTCACAGAACAGTAAGTGAGACACACACAGATAAATAATTTCTATATTACATAACATGAGGTACATTGCTCTACGTCTTTGGCACGAAGAACTGGTTAGCTGAGTAAATTCTAATTAATCTACGGATTAAGGTTCTTTGACCAAATAAAATGAGGAGGTATTCAGGATATATATGTTTATATACGGAAAATAGAATTTCATATTCAAATTATCTGAATAATTTACTTGTAGTTTGCTCATAAAAACTCAAGATACGAGGTACTTTTACGTCCATAAAATTCTAGTTTAAGAGGTATTTTGATAGCTATATGATGAATTGCTTACCACAGAGCAAAACGGCTTGAATGTTTGTATGTCAATACTCAAAGCCCAGTGGTGGACGAATGAGTGTATGTTTTCTAGCAGTCTATGTGATCCCTAATATTTTCTACATGGTCTATCATGTATTGAATAGGGTCGTCTGGCTGAAATAAAGCTATTTCGTAAACAAGTTTCTTGGTTATCTGTAAATTTGTTTGATAAATTATACTTGCATAAGCCTCAAAATTCCATTTTTTTCCAAGTAAATAATTGCTGTAGATTTTGGATCTTCAGCGGTTCTACCAACTTCTGATGGTCCTAGAAGACTATCAAGAGTTGAGTCCATAACTTTTGTTTTTGTTGCCGAGTCGTTTCTATCGCATTTCGTTCAATGTTCTATATTGCCCATATTTAAGCATTTAAAATCCCTTATTCATCAGTCAGGAATAAAAAAGTGTTGGTTCTGCACATTCAAAATGGTCGTATAATAACAATAATGAATAAATTGAGAGACATTTAGCACACGAGACAATAAGTGCAAAACATAATTCTGTCACTGGATTTGGTTGGACGGTTTTCCGGGAGTCAGTCTTCAGAGTGGGCATGGTTGTTAAAATCCCTTTTATCAGTTTTCACTTGAGGGTCCGGAAAAGCATTTGAGACAGGAATGACTCGTTATGAACAAAGTTTGATTTTATTAGTAGTGGCTTGCCCCTTCGATCAGTTTTAGATATGAATAACTCAGCGTATCATACTACAGCAAAATGGTTGGTGAAAATTCTTAAACCATTACACAAAGAAATTGTCAAGCATAGTGTCAAGGATTCCTTTGAATTTGTTGAGAATATAAAAAATCTATCAGCCAAGAATAATTTCGTGTTATCACTCGATGTATCATCTTTATTCACTAACATTCCACTACTTGAAACGGTTGATTTTATTTGCAATGAACTAACAGAGAGGCGCATAGAAACCCAGATTCCAGCATCCGCGATAGAACGGTTAATTCTTAGGTTTACAGTGAATGTCCGATTTAGATTTGACAATGAATACTATAGGGAACTAGATGGAGTTGCCATGGGACCACCATTGGGCCCTCTACTGGCTGATATTTTCCTTGCAAAACTGGAAAACAGTCCACTTAAAAGCATAATTAGCCATTTACCAACTTATTATCACCATATAGACGATACCTTCATAGTATTAGAGAAAGAATATGATAAGGACAACTTTCTTATTATATTTAATAACATTCATCCATCAATTAATTTTACATCAGAAGATGAACAGAATGATAGCATATCATTTCTAGATGTCCAACTAACAAGAAGAGCAGACGGAACTTTAAAAAGAAAGGTACACAGAAAGTCTACATCAGGACTATACACTCATTTCCATATTGCAGTTCCAATAAGATACAAAAGGAACTTGATAAAGATCTTGACTCATCGAGCCAGAATGATTTGCTCTGAAGACACCACTGAAGAAGAATTGAATAATATTCGGAACCTACTCAGTATGAATGGGTATCCCATGAAATTCATCGACAAACATATGATGGAGAAGAAAACAAGGACAAAGATACCCACCGTCCCTAAGAAGGTACTATTCATAAAACTACGATTCATAAATGACACGATTGAAGAAATCTTGACTCATAAACTAAGAAGAGCCGTACAAAAAACATTTAATGCTGCCAGATTAAATGCCATCTACTACAACCATCCCAAAATAAGAACAGCCAATAATCTACGTGTATCTATCGTTTCAACTGCTCCTGTGGAGTCAATTATATAGGGCGTACAATTTTGCAAGTCCGTCATCGTATTACAGAACATCATCCGTCATGGTTAGGCAGGGGACGGGTAAAAGTGATTAAACGTTCTATTCTCTCTCTCACTTGGTTGACACAGGTCATCAAGTTGAAGTGAATAAAGCCTTTAAGGTTATCTACAATATCCCATCAAATTTGCCACATGGTTTGCGAGTGCGCCTCTAGCACATTGCGGAAGCCATCGCAATCCATGTTCACAAACCTGACCTTTGCATTCAAAAGAGATTCGTACAACCACTTTCTCTGCCCCGGCCATCAGAATAAGATTTCCTTCAAAAGAACTATTTTTCATACTCCTTCCACTTGTTTTTTTTGTAATTTTGTTTCTGTTGCTTTTGAACTTTATAACTTCTCAATATTCATCTCTTGATTCTTACGTTAGTTCTATTCTATTGACCATCCATTATAAAATTCTGTTCCTTCCCTTTTCATATATTACGAAACGTAGCAACTTCTTGACTTAATAATTACTTTGAATATTAATAATCCTCTTTCTTCCAACTACTCAATGTTAATTTAAATGTCATTATGTAACTATTACGTAACGTATCCACTCGGTGAGTATTATATCATTATTGTAAATCATATATATATTAGTGTAGAGCTATGATGAAAAACTAATTGAAAAGAAATTTCTTCGCTCAATTCGTTCCTTCTTTAGTAGTATTTGCTCATTGATAAACAGTTCATCAAGGTTTGCTTCACGAGGTACAAATTGTTCGAATGGTTGTGAGAGGAATCGAAGAAGCATTCGCTAGACGGGCTTCCGTGTCCAGTAGCAGTAGAATTCCAGTATTTCATTACCCTTAAAGAGTGGAAGTTGTGTCTACAGTCCGTTCTTCTGTGTTGCGTCCCCAGTTCCTGGGTGTTACCTCTTAAGTTTGTGTCGGAGCCAAACTTAAGTAGGTGTTTAAGGGGGTGTCCAGAAATGTTAAGGATACTGTATGCCATTAGAAGGTCACCACAACGACTGTACGCTAATGGTTAAAGATTTGGTGATTGGAGGAACTCTTCATAAGGCCTGAACTTGAGTCTCCGAACTGATTTAGTGGCTCGCCGTTGAATACTCTCTAGATTGTCTTTATCCTTTTGGAGTAAGTCAGGAAACACCATATTTCCGTTCTTTAAATGCGGCTGAATAAAACTGTTGAAGATTAAGTGGAAAGTTCTACCGCCGAACCGGCCAAATATGCGCTTCAACGTTACAGTGCACGGTTTTTCTGGATGGCACTTTTGTTGCAGTTAGCGTAGGACTTCGGATCACGGGGTGCCAACACTATTTTAGCTTGGGGTGCCTCCAGGGTCTAGATAACTATTTGTACTCATGGTCTGCAATATTTCTCAGGTGTAATACTTTATACTTTGAAGTGCTGAAGAGAAATTCGTTGTTGCCTGCCCAGCTTTATAGACGAGACAGATCCTTCTGCGGTTCAAGTATGTCTTCTTGGTTGCGTATCTCTTTCTAAAGTTTCACATCATCAGCAAAAAGTAGTAAGTCAGACGACATCTGTTGTGGAAGGTCGTTTATATAAATCAAGAAAAGAAGAGGTGTTAGCAGTGAATACAGGGCGACCCCAATACGACATTCCATAGCCTAAGAGAACGTGACGTTAACCCTGGCCCAAAATGTCGATATTTTAGAGATGAAGTGAGCCAACCTATTGAAGGTGACTTGATACCCAATCCTTTGAGCTTATTGATAAGACATATATGGTTGGGCCTATCAAAAGCTTTTTGGAAGCCAGGGT